ATTTAATGATTAATCCAAAATGGATCGTTAATTCTCCCGTCGATCGATTAAGAAAATGTAATCAAATGCCCACCCCTAGTATGAATAAAAAGATAGGATAAGATAATGTTCCATGCCACAGAACATAACGTCGCCGTCTCCCCTGTGTTGGAGACTAAAAGTTTCCTATTGTCTCATAGGTGCAGAAAACTTGAAGCAACCAGCTGGCACCCACATAAAGTTCTTGATCTTTTGTTTAACAGATAAAAGAAAAGTAAGATAATGCAGCTCTCACTGACTCCAAGTTTTTCCTCCAGATGGTGATGAGACGAAAGTGACAGCTGCTCGTCCCTAAACACTCAAGAGATTTGGTAACTCAAACAGTTCCTCTGAGGAACACCAGCCCTTGTCTCCTTCATTAGCTGTGTTTGGGAGTTTGCACATGGCTACTCACATCCAACAGTCGCCCCATTCTCCGCTGTCTAATCAACTGAGATATGTGTTGACGGTCAACACTCTGGAGAGTTGCAAACACCCTTCTTCTAAACATTCATTAAAGCCATGTTGAAGTCTGTTTTTCAATATGTACATCTGTCATTATTATTATCACCAGGATTAACATGATAACTTTAAGTACTTAGCTAAAGTGAAAATCAAGAACTTATAAATTCCCTGCCTCAAAGTTTTGTTTCAAATGAAGCACAGTGTATAAGTGCGCAGACATTGACTTTTGCTGAGCAGTGTTTGCTGAACAAGAAGATAAACGAAAATCAGCTAAGAAGCCACAAAAATGGCAGAAACTATCCTTGGACACCTTTAGCATCTGCCACAGAAACAACGCTCAGATATGTGTCTGCAGTTTCAGATACATCAATGACACAAATATTATTCACCACCATGGATGTAGTGGACACACAGGACATGTGACTGGAGGGGTCCCACCTACCTTAATAAACCATCACATAATATTCTAAACAACATCCAATTATAATTATTCTATATATTTTTCAGACACAACTCTTTGATCTTTGCTACAATGAATACACCTCTGTGTATTTGAGTCATATTGTAATAATCCCTTGTTGCTGATACTCCAAGTTTCAAAAGAGACACCAGAATGGATGAGTCAAACGACTGGAAGCATAAGCATGTCAATTAAGGAAGACCAGAAGGCATGAAGCTCAGGGTCTGTTAGACAAGAACTCCAGAGAAATAGTGACAATACTCAAGGGGGGTGTTACTATAACAAGTGGTTTCTGGGGACATCCTTCATTCTACAAAGGAAGTTCACACTAACTGCTGCTGTAAAGGAACATGTGTAAAATGGAGATGTAACAGACAGAACAAAAATCTGTACACATTTATTTAGTTAATTGACCGTTGACTACACACTTAAAATATGGCCAGAAAACTGATAAAAAGTAATTTTACTACACAGTGATGAACTATCAAGTTTTAAAATTCAAAAAGAGATGGATTGAAATAATCACTCGGACAAAGTAAAGTAAATTTATATTATCTACTCCAGTCTGTAACTGTTAGATGTTAGAGGTCCGCCATGTGCGTTTATTTGTACTGGGCACCTGCCACCAACAAGGATCATAACTTCGGACAGAAAATGGCATAAACACTGAAATATCCATCAAGGCTCACAATTTATGTGTGACCCCTATTTCCACCAACCAAGACCAAGTAAGACACCATCAACCATACATGTAGATAGAAAGGGGCATAAGCCCTGAGCTATACCACCTGGCCCATGTTGTTCTACATGTAGGGGCACTAAAACTAGAGAATCATGATCCTGAAGATATCGCTCAGGGCTCTGATCCTTTTTTGTGAGTTTGTGGTCTTGTGTCGAGTTTGGTGGCAGCATGAGGCTGCTGCTAGTTCTCTGCACCAAGACACCTGATCCCAAACCAAATCACAATCGATTGGTTCCTTCAGACTGTCTTTGACCATGCGTATCGTTTTTCAGCTGCATTTCTACCTTTTTTTAAACTCAAAGTTTTTACCACGTCATGTGATTTACTCCTTCAGTACATAAATACCAGCAAAACCACACCATTGACATTTAAAAATCATACTGGCACAATTTGGCATATTGATAAATGCACTCCAGCCATATTGGTTCAGCCTTATCTTAATATGCCTACATCTTGATGGGGCGAAGGGATACTGAAAGGAGGTAATTATTTTTGAAGTACATCTTTGCTCAGATTATTAATTATACAAATAAGGTGAGCAGGCTGACACACAACCCCCCAAATACATGGTGTTGACAAAAGACAACAGTCCTGATCAGCGATAAACCATGGATACACACACCTGCAGGTTTGTCTACACACACTGACAAACCAAAATGTCAGCGAGGCCTTGAGATAGAAGTTTATCAGACAGAGCTGTTCATTTTCACAACACAGGAACTCAAAGTGAAGAAAGGTCACTCACACTCAGGTGAATCTTTCCTCCCTGACTTGGTGTCCGACGAATTCTTGGGTTGTGGTTTTGTGGCGCACTTTCTTCAACCTCCTTCCGGTGTCAGTTAGCCCGTTACCGCCGCGCTGTAACCGTAAAAGTGCGCCATTCCTCTGCCAGGGCCGAGCGAGCTTAGCGTCCCAGCATGTCCGTGGTTCCCACATTTGAAAACCGCGGTAAACCTCCGTTTTCCTTGTCCAGACAAGATTCGTTTCTGGGAGCGACAGTTACAAGTCTGAACAACTGTGGTTAGCATTTTAGCTGTTAGCTAACAGCACCGCGCTAACCTCCTCCTGCCGTAAGCAGCAGGTGTTGATTGTCTGCGCGTTCAGGTGATGTCGGAATAATCGGACAAACCTGCTCCCGACTCGTAACATTCACTTTAACTCAACCTTAAAGGGATAGTTCAGCCAAAAAGGAAAATTCACTCATTGTCTTCTCACTGCCATATGCTAGGGGGGGGCTGAAGGGTTTGAGTCCACAAAACACTTTGGGAGTTTCAGGGGTAAACATCGTTGCAGCCAAATATAATACAATTGAACTAAATTTGTTCTAAAACAGAACAAAAACATGACATGCCTCCATGCTGCTCCTGTGGTGTCATCCATGTGTCTGGAAGCTCTGACATTCACGTTCAAATCGAAATGGCGTCATTGACACCATGTCATCTCGTGCCCCTTGGACGAGAGCATCGAGGCCAGAGCTTATGCAGTGTGTGTGTGCGCACGAACATGAACGCGGCTCAGGATTTGGAGGATAACAGCGGACATTCAAACTCTAAACAGTTTCATTTGCACCAAGTTTTTAGTCTAAATGTCTGCGAGACAAGATCAGCAAGAACTCTTGATAGCTCCAGAGGCCGGACGGAGGATCACAGCGGACACTTAGGATAAAGACCTGGTGTAAATGGCACTGTTTCCAGTCAAGTTTGAATGTCGGGGCTTCCGGACACTTGGATGACAGCACAGGAGCAGTATGGAGGAATTTTATGGGTTATGTTGATTTTTAACATTTGAAGAAGTGATCCCCGGCTACTTTGTGGGGGGATTTGGCTGCAACGCTGTTCACCCCTGAAACTCCAAAAGTGTTTTGAGGACTCAAGCACTTCACCCAGCCCTCCATCTGTATAGTGGTGAGTAGATAATGAGTGCATCTTTGTGACATAACTTCACACCAAATACATTAAAACAAGTCTGACCTGAGGCATTTATCAGTTTCTGATTCATGGAAAACAGGGAAAATCCCCAAAACATATCTCTCATCTCTTGAACCAAATTCCAAACATTTATTTTTTCGTGAGCTCTTTTTGATAATAAATGTAATAACTGATGTAACATTGTGTCATTTCCATTCACATAGTCTCCATTGACAATGTGGAGCCCCTTGAGAATACCTTTCTCATCCTGAGACAAGACAACATCATGCATTTGTTCATATTATGTTTGTCCAAGGGTTTAGTTTCATATTCACCTTTGCTCTGCAATCACATGAGCACTGAAGTCTGCACTGTTGGCTATGATTATCTCCCTGCATACAACTGCTACAAGCATAAGACACCAAAATATGTACTTTTATGAATCTAATTGAGTTGCATCTTGGATAGTGTGGGTGCTATTGAATAAAAAAGATTATCTCTATGATTTAGCTGCATTCATTTTAGGACCATTGGACAAAAACATGTAATTTAGGTGATTAGTCAAAAACAAACTTCCCACTCTGGTTGGTAAAGCCATAAAGAATGTCAGTATTTTTTCTTGAAAATTAACACATCGAAATATATTTATTAGTGTTTATCAGTGTCATTGTAGAAAATCAAGTGTTTTTTATAACAAGTATATAACTTGTTAGATGGGGAAGCACACAACATAACAACTTTACTAGAAGCCAAGTACAATAGTGTGATGCTGTTGGATAAACTGAACATAATTCTCATTTAAGACACTTGTCTTGTATGTATCTCCAGCAGTGACGTATTAGAACCACCGGGGGGCGTAATGAGCCAGGTGTGGCCACAGTTTTTGAAATGTACATACTTTCAACCAGTTTGGAGATGATCTAATTATGTATTTGCCTAGAATATGTCAGTGATTATGAAAAGTGAATATCATGGTTTGATTTTACAAGCATATCACATTTTTCTTTACATTTTGTGAATGAACTGATTGTAGTTGTGGAAAGCTCAATATTGTTTTCAGCTTGAGTTACCCAAATCAAACAAAAACACGGTAGGACATTAAAAACCTCATGTAGCTAAAATACAATTTATTCCTGCTTTCAATTCACAAATATTACTACATTTGACATTCTTGCGTTGTGCACTATCATGAAAGAACAGTTATACATCAAGGCCCAGGTCAGCCTCAGTTGTTGAAGGTTTAACTGACAAATTTACAGAGAAAGACTTCATACACACACTGTACAGTAGAGATAGGTCAGAAGTGCACAAGAAAATGACAAATAAATTAATTATCATCTCTCTAAACAGAAGAGAATATATTCCAAGATACAGTTAACGACAATGACACACATGTTAGTAATTTTCTAAGCACAGACTACAAATTAAAACTGGCATCTGTCTAGTTGTCTGACAGCAATACATCAGTCCATGTTTGTGAAGGGTATTTTTTTCTACATTTCTTGAGTTTAATGGTGGATGATGATGCAGTTTTTTCACTCAATGGAAGATTTCAGTCCTAGAGAGTAAACGAAAGGAGAGAAAACATATAATTATCAAACATTGGCTCGTAGGCCGCAGTAAATTCAGAGAAGATTGAGATTTGTTTAAGATTTGTGTGGGTCACTCGGCTTTCTTCAATATTTGACAGCGTAGTGCAACATTTGAAAACTGACAGTCACGGAATGGTGATGGAGACGTTCCAATATTTGTTTTTATAAACATAAAGCAACTCCCCAGAATAAATGTAAAGTTGAAATACACAACACTTGTACAAGACATGGTCCTGAAATTGAGAACACGTACATTTCCAAAGGGCCATACAAACTGAGAGATTCCTGTTGATGTATATATTAAGATATAAAATGGTACCTTACATTCTTGTAACACCAAATCAAATACAGTACTTTGGATTTGAAAGTACAATAATTCTAAGCTTGGCTTTAAAACACAAGGCAGGTATAGTGACTTGTATGGAGTGCTAACGTACCATTGTGCTCACACAGGGCCGTGACGCTTCCGCCTGCCAAATGCCTGGGCGCCCACATTGGTGGGAACAAAGTTGTTGTATCCGAGTCCCCCCGACCGACTCAGCAGGTCGGCCAAGCGATGGGTCACACACGTGGATGTGTTGCATCCTCGCTTCTGTGCTGTGACATTGCTTATCAGAAAGATAGTAAAACACAGTTTGTTAAGATCAGAGCAGATATCTGTTTATTTAAATATATTCTGTAGACCTGTCAATAACGAATGAAACAGTTAAAATGCCTGGAGTTAAATTATTTAATAATTGTGCGTTCATTATAGAAAGGCATACTTACCATTTTACAAATTTTAATATTCATGCATGTTTTAAATGTTGAATGAAATTTATGCAGGTTTCATGTAAAGATGCATTTATTTTCTTTATTGTATTTTACAGAAATGCCAATTACACTCTCAGTTCTCTGTCAAAACCTGATGTCAGCCAATGTGAAATAAAGCAATGATGTAAGTTAGTCCAACAAACATGACCCGCATGCATCAACAGTCTCTGAGGATGGATAGAGCTGGATGAAAAAGCAGAAGTCAGCTCAGACAGACGAAGAGCAGATGGGGGACAGCTTCAGTTGTACGAGCTGCCGTGGTTTTCATATTGCTCAGACAGACTTCTCTTCTTGCCCGGTGTCCCCGCTCCCACGTTGGTGCGGGGATATGTTTGCAGTTTGTGAATATCCTGGGAGAGTTTGCCCAGCACACAAGTGCTCAAGCCGGTGCAACGCTTAGACATGGCTCTGTCCAGGCTGTCAGAGATGGAAACAAACATGCAGAAACAGGCTTATGGTAGATGTGGCATGCATATAAATATGATTACGTACACAGATGATGTTTTTTCACTAAAAATGTCATGCTTTCATATTTCAGTGTCATGCTAACAGATCCAATAGATTTGTTTTCATGCTGTACAATACTAATGTCTATGTCTAATATATATCATGCACATTCTCTCGTGTTCTCTGATTTCATGCTGTCTTTAGGACACTACTACACACATGAATGAATGAATGAAGTCCATGAATTGAGGGATTGTGGCAGAGAATAGATTTACATGAATTGCACTGTGTACCACTCAATACACACCAAAGTTGAAGCTGTTGGACTCATAAACAGAAGTGCGTTAATAAAGATAAAGATATTATATGTTATATAGAGAGACTATAGATAGATATGTAAGAGCCATACCCATCAGCTGCTCGGGGGTCTTGCTCGTCTGAAGTTATCTGCATCAACTCCTTGAAGGCTCTGAGAAAACTTTGAGCATCTTCGTTAGTTAGTGTGACTCCATCTGACATCAACTCATTGCCAGATCTGGGGGGAAAGCAACGTTCAGTTAGATTGGTTTGAAAACATTTTTAATTTGTCCACATAAATTCAGTGGTAAAGGAAACTAAGAACAATTGTTTACTTTAAGAATTAATTTGGAGGTAAATAGAATGTTTTATATTTATCAGGATGTTGCATTGAGACTGGTGATGAAGAACAAATCATACAAAAGAATCCTGGGGACACTGAGGAAATGAAGTTTATATAAATATCTTTGATTAGTTATTGTAAAAACGTCAAAAACAACGGAAAACAGTTTTTTTTCAAAATACTGGTTGTACTATATGAGTATTACAAGGTCTTACCTGGATGGAGCTGCCTGTGAGATGTAAATCTGACAAATGATCAGCGCGTTGCCAAGAAGGAGAGTCCACAGTTTCAGCATTATCATGACTCCCTGTAGAAAACACACAAGGTCATTAGACAGATTTGGTAATTGACACTCATTCACATTTATAAAGAGCATCATATCTAATATTTCCAACAGCAACAGTCCAGCCATAATCTAAACAAGCAGCGTTTTATCAATACTCACCATAAGATAACAAATCTTCTGCTGATAAAGAATTAAATGATGAGACTGTATCTGCTGAGCACTCCCACAGTGCAGGGTTTTATATATGTTCCCCATGGGTTTCCGTATTAACCCAGTGAGCACTTGATGATAGTCTATTGGCCAGTCAGATACTTCACCACAAACCGCCAGCCAATCAGAAGACCTAATTCAATCACAGTGAGCCAATAAAAGAGCTTGCATGTTAATTACATGTAAATGATATCTATTCACAAAAAGCTGTAGAGTCAGATAGAGAATCTGTTTCAAAACAATGAGACAGAAAAGCTTTACTGACACTTTCACACAGTGACTGAGAGTCTTAATACACCTGATGCTGCTCAGAGAATATGAAGACGATTCATCATCTGTTCTTAAAGTGTATCAATGAGATATCAATAGTGTTTAAGATGTACAGAGCCAGAGATAGTGAGGGGCATGTATTCTACAGGTGGCCAGAACATATAGATATATAACATATACACATACAGAGTGGGCAGAAATCTGTCGATACCTTTCGGTGCCATCATTACAGATGCCTTTTTATTTCAAGAACAGCAGGATTCTCCTTGTTCAGGTTCATTATCAAACAGGGAACAGTTGTGGGAGACACTTCAGAAAGGGTCTGCTCCCTCACGTGTTTCGGTCCACACTATCTGACAGTGCCGAGCGAAAAAACATTGTTTTATATATTTTACATAGTTATTTATGATAATATCTGAGTTGGGTTTCAACACACTGGACCTCTGCAACCAAGAGTTTAGAGGAGTTTAGGATCCAGTCCAATCTGCAGAGTATTTTGATTATTCTTCTTTTCATACCTTTTGTATGGTTAGATTAAATAAATCTACCAAGGAGGTTATGTTTTCACCCCCGTTGGTTTGTTGGTACATTGGTTTGTAAACAAGATTACACAAAAACTACTGGGCAGATTAGCACAAAACTTGGTGGAAGGATGCAGTGTGGGTAACAAAAGCAATCATTTAGTTTTGGTGCTGTTTTGAATCAGAGGGCTTGAATCCACTTTTTTTTAACACTGCAAAATAGAGCGTTTCTGACATTTTCACTTATTTCCCATGGTAGTATTCCTGGTTCTTGATTAATTGAATCATTTAGGTAACTGATATCTATGAGTGTGTGGAATTTGGTGCAGCTTGACTGAATTAAAGGAGACTATGGAGTGCCATTCTAGTTTTATGTGTGGATGACATCACTGTGAACGCTCCATGGATTCGCTGGTGTTCATCTGGTGTTTCTGAGCTAATTACTGGGCTACTGGTCTCTGGTCATCTTCTAATTCCCCTTATGTAACAATATTGGATGATGTATCATAAAGCATCCTGCCTCCAGTTTTTTTTTTTTCGCATCACAAGGAAACTCAATAGAGTTGCAGTTCCTAGACAGATACGCATGTGTGTATCTGGAGCAAGAGGTTTCAAGTACACACACACAAGGATCAATACTAATAGTCTTGTTCTCATTTGTGGAAATTGCAGAGAAATTGAAATTCTATATATTTATCTTTCAGGGAAAAAATCTGAAGTTTGTCATGGTGCAAATTTGCAAAAAAGAAGTGTGTCAAGTGCCATCATCACAAATTGAGCAGTTCAGACGCACCTTATTTTTAATCTAATGAAAAAGTTTTAGGCTCTGAGCTGCTCCCACGCCTCAGATCACCAAGCATCTGACCGGCGACATGAGTTTGACGCAGAGAAATGACATTCCAAGGGGGAGAGCGTATTGTCAAGAATGCAATTAGCTCACGCTGATCGCATCCCCAAATGTTAGGCATGAATTGGTCTGGAAAAATAATTACAACACAGGAGAGCATTCATGACAGAGAGGGCAGCGCTATGCTCAGTGCATCGCTCATCAGTGACAGTCTCCGCTGAGTCAGTGTGACCTCGTCTGTCTTGTCAGAGTTCCAGCATCTTTCTTGGCTGCAGAATTCTACTAAAAGAAAAACCCAGAAAGAGAATTTCCTTCAAATCTATATCGTCACTTTGCGCTATTTGGACAGGCAGCAAGAATGTAGTACCAGCTGAAGCATAGGAAAAGGGACATAGTTTTGTTACGCTTCCGGTCTGATGAGGACATTTGTGCATCTTCAAACAGAACATTATATTCAGGCTTGTGGATTTATACACTTTAAATCCTCCAGCTCTCCATTAGGAAGCCAACTAAACCTAACCTAACATTTAAACAGCTGGCCGGTGGTTGCACAGGGATTACAGGACTTCTTGCAGTGCCTTTTAGTGTCATTATGCAGTTGGAAAAACAGAGGTTCTGGACAGCATTAGGGATGGTCTCTTATTCGATTTTCCACATGTACTTGATGATTCCGCTTATTCAGATGGTAAATAATTTACTGTAGATCCACGGTCGTCAAGGGACCCACCCAAAACAAATACTGTATGCACATGCCCCACAGTATAGACAGACCGGAAGAACACACATAATGTACAGACTGATGCTGTTCTAGCACAGTAACAGCATTAAAACCCATACACTGATCAGGACCAAATAAAATTAACCCAGAATAGAGTTTTGCAATACGATGATGTACTGCATCCTGTGAGACAGCATTCATTTGCTTTGCCATACCATTTATACCTGGTGGTGGCTATTCTTCCGATATCGTTAGTAATATTAAATCATTGTAATGGGTTAAAAAAATACTCTGGACTGCCAATATTTGTTGAATTGGTCTGGTTGAATTGAATTAGTTCTTCCAGAATTTTGTTGTGGGACTTGCATATGACATATGAAAACATAGGATCCCGCATTTCCCATAATGCATTTCAATATGTATTTCACTGGACTCCTGTTTCCTATAATACAAAACATTCAAGCAAAGTCCAAAGTTTTTTTCCCCTGACTGAATATAAATATGGACGACATGACAGCCGCCCAAATGTGAAGCCAAATCCTCTTCATTGTCCCCTAGCGACTGAATGTTAGTAGGCGGGTCATGGCCCGAACGAAAACATCAGAGTACACATTAAATACATTTTTCCCAAAGATTATGTCTTTAATTTCAGGTAGTTGTCAACACACTGATGGATGTCCAAGTGTTGTTCTGTTAGTTTTTTAAGACTGAATTGCGATTTTTCGAGGACAGGTATCGTCCGAACCTCGATACCACAGCTCCACACCACGATCACCACAGCAGAGTTGAGCTTCATTTTTGTACAATGGGAGGAAGCAGAGATCATCTTTACACACAGTCAATGGTTTGCACCACTCCAGGAGATGGAAGGATCTGGGGAGGACTGCAGGAAAGATGTGGGGTTTAAATATTGTGTCTGATGAGCGTGCAGGAGAGTTTGAGGGGAGCGGGTATCTGTGGGCCACACCCATCTGGATGAACACAGACAGGACTGACACACCCACAGGGGACAAACAACACAGCAGAACCAATCAGGAGAGAGAAACACAGGAGAACATGGAGAATGTAGGGGTACGCTAACAACAACTGTTTTCATCGGCTGAGAAGAACCTCTACAAGTCAACTGAATGTGCAAAATTGCTGTTGTGCCCCTTTACGAAGTTTTATGTAGGATTTAGTGGCATCTAGTGGTCTAATTACCAACTGGATACCCCTGACTCATCCTCCTAACCGAAACATAAAAACACAAAAGCTCCTCTCTGCAGTCAGTGCTCAGTTTGTTCGTTCTGAGAAACCGTAGAAACATGTTGCTGCAACATGGTGAACTCCTGGCAGAGAACCCTTCTTTGTAAATATGAAGTTTTATTCTAAGGTAACAAAACACAATTATTCTTAATTTCAGGTGATTATGAAGGAAACTATGAATATAATATTCCATATCTGACAATGATTCTCCCTAAATCCTACTAACTGGAACTTCACCAAAAATAAGGGAGATGGAAAAATATATTTGCATTTCTTGAGGTCCATAAGTAGAATAAATAAGTTAATATAAAAAATTAATACCCTCCAGAGAAACACACTTCTTTGTTAATTTCCAGATAAAACGTTTCACATTTTTAATATTTTGGATTTTTTCTGAATCCATGCAGTTACATGGACACAGACAGCAAACACTCCTGTTGCTGATGTTTTGATTAACCCATCAACTGACAAGATGATGCAGCAGTGAGATGTTCATTTGATTAAAATTGACAGATTGGTTTAATGCTTCCAGAACAGCTGATGAGTCTGGGGAGCCGGCAGGAAGGGGAGAAAGTCATTTGCAAGAATGTCCTCATTAGGTAGCCCTGACAAATCTGAATGACTGGGGGGAGGTCTGTCGAGGCCATTTGAGGCTTTGGAGAGAAAAAAAAAATCTTCCAGCTGCCTCAGCAGGAAGTAACAGCTGGATAAACAACTCCACGTCTGATGACGAGCCAGTCATGACCAACTGATGACACAGAAAAGAGGAGAGCACGGTTTTACAAAACTGCAAATTGTTTAAAGTTTAAAAACCACCTCAGCGAGACGATAATACTCACCTGAGTTAAACTCTGTGTTCTCCACTGTGTGTAGACTGTGTGGGCAGTAAAACAGTGAGGAAATAAACAGCTGCTTTATTGATAGGGATCATTTAAAAATATTTATGAAATATTATTGATTTGTCAGATTATTAAAGCTTGACACCATTTATATCCAACACTCCTCCGTCCTGCGGCGTCTGGATAAGATCAGCTTTTTGGCCCACAAGACAAAAACGTCTCCCACAACCATGCACGTCTGGAATGTGGCGCACGCCTTAACCTTTCACCTTAACCTCTGACCTGTGAATGTAGTGCATTAACGTGTAGAGGTGAAGGAACCTGCAGCCACTTACTGGGGCAAAGTTTATTTGCTTAAAAACAAAAACAGGGTAACACACAAAGGTGCTTTATGGGGTCTCCTCCGGTAGTCATACCTGAGTGACAAAAAATTCAAATTTGCACAAAAATTGCTCTGGGAGTTTTTGTTATTTAGTTATTATTTGTATATCCACGTTACATATTGAAGTAACCTACAAACAGATGTGGTTTATGAAATCAGGCTCTGAACCAGCATGTTCTGCACTATCATTGTATCAATACAGGCTTAATCAAGTTATTCTACTTACAAACTTATTTATCTCTGTTTTTTCCTTGTCAATACCTGCTCCATCTGTATTTATCATCTCTTTACATGTACACACATTGAAACTACATCTGTTAAAAACACTTTTCCATCGTCTTCTCTTCAGCTGGTTGTCGGATTATTTCCGAAATTTCAAATTGCAATCACGATATAAGCTCTGCGTTGAAGGTCTTGCTGCTAAAATCCCAATTTTCAAAAAAACACATTACCTTTGAGAGCAGCGTAGGTATGGTTGGTTTACAGGGAGATGAATGTGTACAGATGCTAACGTGTCCATGCAGCCTACATGTATGGTGAAAACCGTGTGACAGGATTCTCCAGCGTCTGCAGTCATGTTATCAGAGAGGCTCTGTTCACCTGTTCAGTGACCCCACATGATACTTGGCTCATCTGCTGCTCCGAACTCCCGTCACACCGCTGGTGGTCGGTCTCTCTCCCGTCTGAATTTTACACTTTTGTACTTTCTTAGTAGTTTTATCTGCAGGATAAGTCTTCTCCCAGCTGGGAATTGTTTGGTAACAGATACTGTGTGACCGCCTCTCTTTGTCCTGCCTTGAACAATAACTGCTTTCACTACTGCACCGATTGAACACGGCAAACACAAATCAAACTAATATTTGGGGGCATTTAGAAGGTTAGTGATATTTAGAAGTCCATGTTTTTAGTAACCGACATTTTGAGTGGATTCTTACGTTGTTGCAAAATGACCGTATTGATCTTCTCAGCTCTGTAACAGTTAAATGAATCTATACTCTGTTTTTCTCATTCAAAACTAATCTGCATTATGTTTGGTCAACTGAGATTGGACTTAGTCTCTGACATTATCCCGAACTCTGCTTCCCAGAAATACTTGTTTAACTCAAAGTTTATGGTTTATGCAGCATATGTAACATTTAAGTGCACAGGCCAGCAATTACATTAGATTAAATGTGCAGTGAAATATAAAAGTTAAAAAAATAAAAAAAGTAATACTGCTTGAACTCAAAGTTTCCTGGAAACACAGGTACACGTGATCACGATTTGTCTTTGAGCAATACACAGTATTTCACTGTGAATGGTCAGAAACTTGGGTTAGTAACCCACAGCCCCACAGAGTTTTTATTTTTTAGCTTATATCTATTTTTTTAACTTTAAATGAGTCTGTTAGAAAACTGTATAAGAAGGAAATTGTGCTCAGAATCTTCATTTAACTTTCATCCCATGAAACAATGACAAAAAATAAACCTTTGTTACCAGTTTCATTAGAATTATTAGTTTTGGTTCTACATTGTGTGTGAGTGATTTTCTTTGCAATGTTGAATCCAACAGAACTTTGTTCATCCTTGTTCTTTTCTAACAGCAGCACATCAAGTGTTAAAATCCACCTGAAACCCACAGGAGCACTTTTGAACTCCAACGTGCTGCAGGATTTTCCATGTACTGCTCTTATAGGAAACCCACTTCCAGACTCTGTGTGCAGTGCAGCAGGATTTTCTTTCCAAAAGACACCCCCCCCACACACACAAACACACACACACACACACACACACACACACACACACACACACACACACACACACACACACTCGTGTAATATGATATATTTAAATCACCCTGCAACAAGTCTGTGAGGCCAATTAGTGCGTCTGCGGGTTATCATCTGACTTGTTGCATTGACTCATTCTCCTGCACCAGTTTGTGTCTGAGTCAAACTTTTCACTTGCGTTTCGCACCTTTCACTAAAGTTTCACAACAACCCATGTCTAGTCCGTGTGTGTGTGTGTGTGTGTGTCTGTGTGTGTCTGTGTGTGTCTGTGTGTGTCTGTGTGTGTGTGTCTGTGTGGTGTACCAGCCCCCCCCCCAAAAAAACTAAAGTAACCAAAAACTCAACCAGCACCAAAAACTGATCCCCATCATTGATCGCGTGCAGAACAAAGTTCAGCAACAGTTAACTCCGACTTTCTGGCCAACCTTCGCTTTAGAGGCGGGGGAAAGAAAATGTGCAAGATGATACATATGTGCAGCAGTTGGTGTGAGGGAGAGCTGCAGTCAGCAGGGCTGTAGTCTGCAGGGGGACAGACGCTGCTCGGTTCTGTGGGGGAAAGATGGTTTCGATCAAGTCTACGTCTCTGGTGCCGGTGTCCGGGGCTCAGGCTCTGCTCGGGGGGGTTTGCCTGACCGTCGCCCTGCTCGCCTTCCTGCTGGTCCGGCAGCTCTTCAAGCAGAGGAGACCCCCGGGCTTCCCCCCCGGTCCCTCTCCCATCCCTGTCATAGGAAACATACTGTCCCTGGCCACTGAGCCGCACGTCTTCCTCAAGAAGCAGAGTGAAGTTCATGGACAGGTAACACACACACACACACACACACACACACACACACACACACACACACACACACACTGTAAGAAGGAACAATAGAGGCTCGCCCTTACATCAGGCGGTCTCTCTCTTGCCTTTACTTGGAGGAGAATATCTGGCTCCCCTAAAAAGTGAAGCCCCCTCCTCAGAATAAACACTAAGGACAAAGAGTTCAGTTTGATAACATTGTTTCTTTTACAGTTTCACATGATGTAAAGATGGAGACTGTCCTGTTAAATGTCCAGAAAGTTTAACTTACCCTCATCCTCCTCCTGGTTCATGAAAGCCCTTAATGTTGCAGCTTGTCTGTAATTGTGAAATATAGATGTGTGTGTGTGTGTGTGTGTGAGAAGAACAAAAGCAGCAGCACTTACATCACTGTGTTCTCTCCAGATTTTCAGTCTTGACCTGGGAGGCATCCTGACTGTGGTGTTGAATGGATATGATTGTGTGAGGGAATGTCTCTACCATCAGAGTGAGGTGTTTGCTGATCGCCCGTCGCTGCCTTTATTCAAGAAAATGACCAAAATGGGCGGTAAGACTTTGTTATGTGTCGACAGCGCAATAACGCGTCAGTTGAAATATTTAATTGTCAGGAGTTTTATCTGTATTTTAAGTGTATTTTCTTCTCCACCATTCATAGGCCTTCTGAACTGTAAATATGGCAAAGGCTGGATTGAACACCGCAAACTGGCGTGCAACTCTTTCCGTTACTTCGGCAGCGGCCAGAGGCTGTTCGAGAGGAAGATCTCAGAGGAGTGCATGTTCTTTGTCGACGCCATCGATAAGCACAAGGGGAAGCCCTTCAATCCCAAACACCTCGTGACCAACGCCGTGTCCAACATCACCAACCTGATCATCTTCGGACAACGCTTCACCTACGACGACCACAACTTCCAGCACATGATCGAGATCTTCAGCGAGAATGTGGAGTTAGCAGTGAGCGGCTGGGCCCTTCTCTACAACGCCTTCCCGTGGATTGAGTATGTGCCGTTTGGAAAACACCAGAAGCTGTTCCGCAACGCTGCAGAGGTTTATGATTTCTTACTGCAGGTGATACAGACTTTCTCTCAGGGCAGGGTGCCACATGCACCTCGGCACTATGTCGATGCCTATTTGGATGAGTTGGAACAGAATGCAGGAGACCCTAGTTCGTCTTTTTCCTACGAGAACCTCATCTATTCAGTTGGCGAGCTCATAATTGCTGGAACAGAGACCACAACCAACACCCTGCGCTGGGCCATGCTGTACATGGCCCTCTACCCCAACATTCAAGGTCAGTTGTAGTAGAAGCATCGTCACACTTTGAGAATATTTCATCTTGTACAAAAGAGATGTGTTTTGTTTAATTGTACCGTCATGTGAATAAATGCCTGATGGTGCCTGTTTTCCTCCGATAAGAGAGGGTGCACAAAGAGATTGACAGCGTTCTCTCCAACGGGAGGGCGCCCACGCTGGAGGACAAGCATAGGATGCCCTTCGTGGAAGCCGTTCTGCACGAGGTCCTTCGCTTCTGCAACATCGTGCCGCTTGGTATTTTCCGTGCCACCTCCCAGGATGCAAAAGTCAAAGGGTACTCGATTCCTAAAGGCACCATGGTGATAACGAACCTCTACTCGGTGCACTTTGATGAGAAGTACTGGAACGACCCCGGCGTTTTCTTACCGCAGAGGTTTCTGGACAGCAACGGCAACTTTGTGAAGCGTGAGGCCTTCCTTCCCTTCTCCTTGGGTTAGTCTCTTTATGTTTCTCTAAAAATGCTAAACTCCTGATCTGTTTATGAGCTGCAGCTTTTAACAAGACAGTGACCAGAGTTAGTTGAGTTGCCCACAAACTGTTTTCATAAGTCATATTTTATAGTTTAGAACATTTCCTTGATTACTGTTAGTTCATACAGTGTGGCCTCGGCCTGCAGTCACCTCTGAAATGGATGTTGTCAGGCCAACAACAGAAACAAAACTCAACATAGTGTGAAGTGATGTACAGTACCAGTATCATACTTACAAAACTCTACTACCAACACTGCAGTAAGAGGGAAAAGGAGTAGTTTTAAAAAGGGCTATTTCTTTTCTTCTGTAAAACTTTTTTCCACGTAGCATAAATGTAAATGTCAGATAAGTTCTTGTGTGTTTCCTGTTACCATTTAGATTTGTCACAGCACATTGATATAGAGCATGAAGAAGATTTCCTTCCTAGAACCCACTTTCTTCAACTAGAATGATACAACATTCAGATCCTGATTTTTATTTGGATCTGCACTGAATTGCAAACACATGAATATCAAACCTCCTTTTTTCCCTCACGATGCACAAATTATTCTGAGGATTAAATGAAAATGTTAAATGTTCTCTTTAATGGAAATCAGTTCAATAGTTTTGGTGTAATTCTGCTGACAAACAAACGCAGATGAAAACATTACCTTCTTGGCCGATGAAATTACCCACAATCCAAATGAGCCTGATATTGTGTGACTGTGCATTTTTTTACGGGTCTATATAAAAGTCCTTCTCTCTTTTTTTTCAGGGAGGCGTCATTGCTTAGGTGAACAACTGGCCCGGATGGAGATGTTCCTTTTTTTCACCACTTTGCTGCAGAGGTTTCACCTCCAGTTCCCTCCAGGAACCGTCCCCACCCTCACTCCCAAACTGGGCATGACCTTACAGCCCAAACCCTACTCCATCTGTGCCGTCCGCCGACAACAGAGAGTCCCGTCCTCTGGAGACACTCCTTACTACAAGTAGGCAAGCAGGCATCCATAACAGCTGGTTAGGCTGTTCATGACAAACGTTTACTATTTTGCACAGCAATGCAACCACATGATACGGGTGCATTATACTGCATTGCTGGAGTTTAATATCCAGATCTGGTGCATCTTTCCAAAGCGACCAAGGTGGCTCTTCAGCTGAGCACGTGATCCAGTCTATTCAGGTACTGTTAAATTCTCTTACTGAGCAGAATGCATGTTTGCACAATGCCTTTGCAGCAGCAGGGGAGGTGATGAGACTGTGCTGAGAGGACATCCGATTAACACAAGTGTGCTATCGATTCAGAGCTGGGAAAAAGAGATGTCTATGAACCTGGGTGCAGCCGCGAGGGGTTTGGTGCATGTCAATGATTGACAGTAAGTACACCCACTGTGGTTCAAAGCCCTGCCTTCTTGGGACAGCGTCAGGTCAGACAGATGACACCACAAATTCGTACGTGTGGGGCGAAACAGGACGAACACACTTTCCAGGAAAGTTCTGGACACTGTACTGGAGCTGGACACAGGCCAAGATTTACGTCACCTGGACTGACTCTGACCCCGTCTCCAGGGAGAGCACACGGTGGAAACTCTTTCTCTTAGAAATGCAACAAATGCAACCCTGGTGGATTTCTAGAAACTGACAATGCAATACTGATTTCTGCTAAATGGTGCTTAACAGTACTAACAAAGTACTGCATTTGTGTGTTTAGGTTAACTTTTGTTTGTCTTTTTTTGTAATGCTGGTGTTTATTTTTTGTGTCAATTCATAAAGTCTTTGTTAAGATACTGAGAACATACGTCTTTTTTTTTAGCTACAGCTAAATTGGTAAAACTCTGAAATGAACAAAAACTATTCTGTTGATTTTTAGATTTCTTTCTAAAAGGCAGGATTCTATTGATGGGAGCATTTAGACTGAACAAAACCATAAAACCATCAACTGCTTATAAAGATGAACATGTCTCCACTTCCTCCCAATATCCAGAAATGTCCCTGATACAAACGCTGCCATCTCTCACCGATGACAGCGTTTGGAGCTACAGTGTGCGCAGCAGTGAGCAAGTTCCACCGACACATGTTCTCAACCCACCACGAGTCAGTCTCAGCCGCCATTCATGATGTCTCATCCTGTTTTTATAGAATTAAATAACTAATTAAAACCAAAGATAATGGTGGATATACAAACTGATAAGAACTACCTGAAATAACAGAAACCATATGAGAAAATTCTGTTTGACAGTTACTTGACCCATGTTTTATCCACTAATACGGAAGAGGCAGGATTTATGACCTGTACCGCAGCCAGCCACCAGGCGGCGATTGAGACACTTTGGCTTCAGTTTTGAGGAGGTCTATGCATAAAACCAAAACAAAGTGCTCAAAGACTCCAAAACGCCGTCTGCTGCTGCTGAAGGGAAGGTGCGGACTTTTTCAAATTACACATAAAGATTCGATCTTGTTGATAAAAAAACAGCAGCTGTAAAGTGTCGGCAGCACAGCAACATGAGGGAGACGTCACACGACTCTGAGCGGACGTCTAATAAGCTGACAATTGACACCTCCTGTGTGTGTGTGTAGGTGCATTTCTTCTTCTGTTTACTTCGAGTGGAATGGAGGAAAAACACAAAGTGGTGTTAAATAAAGCACACACACACACAGACCAATCAAAAAAACCAATGAGAGCTGCTGATACTTTAGGGATGGTGTTTTATGACAGCTATAAATAACAACAAAAATCAGTTGCCCCCACAATGTAGATAAAGGGTGAATGGTTACATTAGACAAACTTACATATATCGATGCTACATAAGGGAAACAACCATTCATAGATGTATTTATGGCACAATCATTAGAGGACACCGTGGTTTGACAGACTGCACAGTGAGAAGCCAACAGAATTTTACAACTTAATGAGCCTGAAACATGTCGGGTCGGTGGCTACCCAGGCTTTATGATCCAGCAAGGGTCCATCTGAACAAACTGAATGTGTACAGCTCTGACCTGAGTCCAACTCCGACTCCTGCCACTGTCCCTTTAAACCCAGTGGACCATTTGACTCAAGGTCTCTTGTGTGAACGGCACCGGAGCCCGGAGAGCAACTTTTGCCAAATTAGTGAATCACAGCCCAGGACACTACTGCATGTAGGTAAAGTTTGGCACTAGTTGGGTCGACAGCGATAGAGGGAGGGAGATGATGGAGAATACAAGAGTGGTTATGATACAGAACAGGGAGAGGCTGAGAGCGAGTGATGAATCAAAACTCAAAAACCTCAAAACTCGACACCTGTTAAGAGACGCATTCAAAACTCTGGAAACACAACGGTAATTACAGGATCTCCATGTACAATATGTCAGCTGCATGTAGAAAACAGATGCATTCATTTGATTATTTTTAAAAATATATATAATTTATATGCACATACTCTTTGTACAGCGGCTAAACACTTGTTTGGTATTAAAATGTGCACACCGTTATCTACTTTTTCTTCTTTAAATATCACTATCTTGGTTTACACTGCTTTACTTAACATTCTCTCCAGAGATTCAGATTTATAAGGTGGGAAAAAAAAAAAGGCGACAATTCCGCCTTCCCTTTCATAAAAACGTCTTTTTCTAGTGGAATGCCAAGAGTTCTGAGAGAATAAAATAGACAACAAGTAGTTTTTTAAAACCTGTCATAAAATATAGATATGTATAAACAAAACCAAAGTGAAGTGAAACCCTGGATCCCTTCTTTACACACTGGCCGAGTTGTGGGTTCGATAACAAAACTCAAAATAAAAACAAAAAAGAGGAAATGGTAGATGGGTGAGCTCTCAGTTTGTCTGAACGTCAGTGTCTGCTGGCTGAGCGGAACAGACATTCAGACGTTGTACTGTTTGTTTAAAAACAACGCAGAGAACGTTGAACTAAGAAAACCTTACTTGCTCTGTAGTGTCGCAGAGCAACGTTGTGCAGGTGTGTTGTGTTGCTGCAGGAGAGAGACATTTGCAGTCTGCCGACGATCAGGATAAGCTTCTTTTTTCTCTCCAGTGAGGTCATAAAAAGGTTACGCAAACAGTGTACGAACGGCCAGGAGACAGCACATACTGTATGCTCCTCTGTCACAGAGGATTTTAATTGCTTGGATTGGTTTGTAATCGTAAAGTTGTTCATGGAGATATTACAAACTACTTTAGTCACCCAGATTTTTTTAATTCTCTTTGTGAATTTTTCATATTAATGACACAAATTCTTGCAAAATAATTATTCAACTTTGCATGAATCCTGAGTAACCTTTAAAAAAATACTTGGAATCAAAAAGAGGAAAGTGAAGAATCCATTCATTGAGACAGCACTCCTGATCTGAATGCAACATGTTAAAACACCAGAGGACATCTCACTGGTTAGAAACTAACCATTATTGAAAGGACAAACAGACACACACACAAATTACATACTAAAATAATTAAAAATGTGTTCACTTTCTGCCAACTCATTCACTCTATCACATTCCCACGGAAACATATTCACACACACACACAAACAAAATGAAGCGAGGAGAGTTAAAGGGTCAAAAAAGGAACAGAAAAATAAAAGACAGGTGGTACACATGAGTAAAAGCATCAAAAATGATGCAGATATAATGCTAATAATCAGTCAACATTTCAATAATGTCTCTGTGACTGAGTCTTATACAGTGTTTCGTGTCACCAGCAATAAGAGAGAACTACACAAGCCTAGGCTCTGGGCCAAAATGGACTCAGTAAAGGTTCAGACAGGCACATTTGATATATATATACATATATATATATATATACACATATATACATACATATACATACATATATATATATACATACATATATATATATATACATATACATATATATGTGTATATATATATATATATATATATTTATCTTTATTTATATACATATATATGTGTATATACATATATATATATACATATATATGTATATATACATATATATATTCATGTACGTATATATATAATTCAAAAATTAACCTGACACTGAGGCTGAAACAGTCTCTCGTCTTTCTCCGTGTTTGAACTGTTCACTTTGGTAAAGGGTATCCATCGCTCAATGATGTCGCTCACTTGATTATTTTTCCTCTACCTTTCCTTTCTTAAATAGACGGGAATTGTTTTGTACCTAAGGGAGGTGTAAGCACTTTGCATTCTAGGCAGCATCACAGCCAGGTCACCATGGAGGGAGCCAACGCTGGACCCCGTCCGCTCTCTTCCTCCGCACCATCCTCAGTTCTGGTGCTTTTTTTCCTTCTTTCTGGGTGCACTCGACTCTCCATGGGGGTGAAAGTGCATAGGAGTTGGGCTCCCACCGTTGCAGCAAGGATCCGCTCACAGTAGTAAGGCCTTTTTGTTTCTCCAAGATCAATGTGACTGCTTAAGTCTGCACAGTGAATCTTTAAATGTGTCTGTGTGTGAGAGAGAGAGAGAGAGAGAGGAAAGTGTGTTTAATGTGCATTTGTCAACTGTCTGCATGTGTTCCTCATGTCTGTGTTCATGTCGGTGAAAGGTAGGTGGTCGAGGGACTCGTGCCTCTCGTCATCTTCTTTTTTCACGCATCTCTCTTCTTTACTTCGTCCTCCTGCTACTGACGCTCGTCTCCCTCCTCCTCCTCCTGGATGACCTGGATGTCGTCTGACGGGGAGACGGGCAGGCTGACGGGCAGGCTGTCCGGCGGCTGCTGTTTGCCGAGCTCTTTGCTCTTCTCCTCCTCCTCAATGATCTTCTTCCAGACCTTGTGGTTCTCCGTCAAGTGCTGCATGATGCTGCAGAACAACCTGCGGTGGCTCTTCTTCCTTTCTATAATGGGCAAATGGCAGAAAAAAATATTATGAAATAATTCAGCTAATTATTTGTAAACACTAATTTCAAAATAAGGGTCTAAATCTTACTTGGTGCAAGCTCATCTTCTAGCTCATCTTCCTCATCTTCATCCGTGTCTGTGTCCACCTGCCCCTCATCGTCATCTTCATCTGATCCCGCTTCATTAATCCAGTGGCCGGGGAGAAGGCCAGCAGCATCGTAGGAGTTACAAAGTGGTCCAACAATATGGGTGATGAAGGACTCCTGCAGCTTGGCCAGCTGCGGGGAGGAGCGGTCCATGAAGGGGCTGATGGGTAATCCTAACTGAGCCTCCTCGTCGCCCTATGGATCAAAAACGAGGATTAGGGATGAGAACATTTTCCACAGAGACACAAATCTTCAGTGATTCAGAATGACATCAGTTGTGTGAAATGAACTGAGCTGAAAATCCTGACATTTTCGACAAATTTCCCCACTCATCATCTTATAGTTGTTATGTGACTTTATAGGGATATACAACGAGGGATGAGTAAATGTGACCTTGATTATATATCTACTGTAAATGTTTTCTGTCTGGAGGTGTTTGACGTTGGATTGGATTATTTTAGGGTATAAAATATGATAATCTTGTTTAAGGTACTGCTTTAAACTCAAGATTCTTTTTAAAGATAAAAACACAAGATATAAGAACTGATCTTTGTTAATTAAATCAACTCTGCATTGTTGCATTCAGTCTGTACCTGCTCATAAAACTCATTGACAATTCCCTCTGTCCACTTGAGATGCAGGTCACGGACTTTGGCGGGTCCGTTGATGTCTGCCAGCTTAATACACACTTGGCACACCAGCAGTCGGTCATTCTCATTGGTCCAGTCAATTCCTGGACTGTTCACATCGTTCACCTGTGAACGAACAGAGATGACGTCTTATTAAAACAGGTCAAATGTTGTTTTTCATGTGCATTCAGAATGCTGCCTGTCCAACTTCATTTCAACGAACCATCCTGCTAATATTTCAATAAAAAAAATGTTGCCAGAAATTAGAGGATCAATAAATAGATAATTTTCTATTCTGATCATAAAACTCTGCAAATAGTAAAGACTTTCTTCATCTCAGACCTTGGCATTGAACTCAGCCAGGAAGTCAAAGTGCTTCTTGAGGTCTGTGGCCAGTATGGCCTCGATGACAAGGAAGCGGAAACGCTTGAACTCCACATGATCCAGGTTGACCAAGAAGTTGAACTCGGGCTGGGAGAGGTAGAGGCTCCAGGCAGAAGCAGCGTGGTGGTTCTCCAGCACTGAGCGGTCGTTGTACAGCACTGCCTGCAGCGCACGAGAGGGAAAAAAGCCAAGTGGTGACAGAGGGAAAGATGGCACGCTTAGAAAATTCATTCAATTTCCTCTAAAATGTCAGTAATGGATTTGCTTACATAATGTGACTGCATACGTGTTGCACAATTTGTGATGGTTTCAAAAAGATAAAAGGGGGCATGAGGGTATTGGTTATGAAAGTAGAACAGGCTCCAGTGCTGGTTACAGAGACAGTTACAGAGACACCAAGACAGACTTCAACAATCCTTTCAGCAGACACATGGTGGTTGTAAACATCATTAGCAATCAATAGGTTCAGGGTTCCCTATCCTTTCTCTTAACCCTCTTTCCTGGGACTTACAAAACCCAGACAGTGTGAGTGCTATCACTGGACATGTTGTGAAAATACAATATTTAAACAGAGGCTCCCAGTTAACCCTTTCACCCCCATTTACATGGCTGACCACAATGAGACAGAGAGAGAGAGTGAGAGAGAGAGAGAGAGAGAGAGAGAGAAAAGGCTGCTTGTTTTTATGATAGTACATAAGGCCTGACTTATCATTATAAAGCATGTAAGCCTTCATTTAGAACAAGAGTGAAAGTGGCATTAACATCGGTCCTGAGTGATTTGATCACCAGTTGTGAAGATGTGAATATACCCAAGGTCCTTTGAGGACACAGAGATCTGATTACGACCAAAAATTA